CTTACATGTTTGTCTTTATGCTAAATCACACTTAAACCCCTAATGAATTATCTTCATAGAATACAATTAGGGAGTGTCCCATATAATCTAACAGACATCAGTGCCTGCACATGGATTATCTTCTTTGGATATCAGACAACACTAGACCCTGAAGACTAAAAGCAGTTGAAGATGGATATTGTTTAATATCCCTAGTGCCCTAAAGAATATCCCTGACTATTCCAGGGGATTAGAAATTTTCAAATTTAACTTTATGTTCCATTTTAGTAACTAATTCTGTAAGGTTTTGCTTCTCTCCAATAAGTTGAACAAAAGGCTGGCAGCTGTTTTACTTGTTACCAAAAGGAAGGTTTCTATCTGCTTCCTCTGCCCTATGGTTTTCTCTCTAAACACCACTCTTTTATGATAATGTAATATCTGCCTTGATCTGAGCGTAGACCCTAGGATGTAGCAAAGGGAGGTTTACATTGGATCTTTTGTGTGTGGATAGGAGTCAGAGTTGAAAATAGATTCTGACCATTGTGGCACTAATATCCTTTGTCACACCACCACTAAGAATCTCTGCACAGCAGGTTTTCAGATATATTACTATCTAGCACTTCAAGCTCCTAATCATGTAGGTTCCTCTTATTCATAATAGTTTATGTGTTTAATCCCAGAATGAATACAACATTCAAAATTTAATATGGGTAAAATATACCTTTTTATTAGAGGTCTATTATATTTTACACTAGAGGTCCAGTGCACAGGATTCATGCACTGGTGGTGGTGGGGGGGTGTCCTGTGGGGATCAGCCCACTGTGGGAGCATCCCTCATCCCAGTCAGCTGAGTGGTGCTCCCACTGTGGGAGCGCACTGACCACCTGGGGGCAGCTCCTGCATTGAGCATCTGCGCCCTGTTGGTCAGTGACGGTCATAGCGACTGGTTGAGCGATCGTTCTGGTCATTCTGCCGTTTGGTTGCTGGGCTTTTATTATATAGGATTGCAACTGGCTTGAACTTTGATGGAGATTAAATGTAATTTTAAAGTAAAAGCAAATACTGCTCTATTGGATTCCCCAGCTAAATTCAATGACTTGAAATTGAGAATTTATGGTAATCTTAGCATAATTAACCAAAGTTTTAATTTATTGTACAATAAGATGGTAAAGCTTTAAAATAATAGCTCAAATGATTATTCTTAAAATTTAAGTAAAATCTTTTAAAGTTTCACTTGAGCAAATTCAAAGGATAAAATCATCACTTACAATATTTATGTGTAGGTATTTTCCTCTTTGACTTTACTGTAAACCTCTGTGTAACAGACATTTTTCACTCATCTTTTGAACCCTATACCAGCATAATGCTTGTATATTTTAGTTATTGGAAACAAAATATTGAATAAGCGAATCTGAATTTTTTTTTTATCTTGGGCCTGAGAAGAAAGCGAAAGATCCTGAATCTTTGTTTAGGGACTTGATATTGTGAAATGGACCAATATGTAAAATCATTCCATGGGACACAAGTATCTACCCTCTTATTGAACCCAGCATTGGCAAATATTGACTCCATTGGTGGAAATGAGTCTCAGAGAGGTCCAACTTTACCATTCAATTCTAATTTTGTGGTTTTAGTGGTAAGAAAAATGCAGAAAATAATAGGCTGTCCACAGCAGAAGAGTATATGTTGGTAGAAAAGTAGTTAATGGCACTCTAATTAGTGAAAGGCAACATGACTTTGTCACAGACTAATTGGTGTCTTAACTAGTTGTTGAGATTGCTTAACTTCAATCAGTGAGTCTTGGGACAACAAATTCATACAACACAATGATGCTGATAATAATAAGTTTGTATATATTCAGACAGATCCTCTATTATTCCTTTGTTCTTTAAGGACCATAATGTACCCTTTTTTGTATATTATGTGATTAAACAAAGGTTGCTAAACATTTAATGTTTTATTTTGTTTGTTTCTTATTTTATTGGAAGGAAGTTATTTTTTCTCTTCCATTGATTCTACAGCTCACTACAATTAGAGTTACCATAATGGTAGGATGTGGTTGGTAGAAATATATGACTTCATCCTTTATAATCACCAGCATGGCATTTCCCGCAACAAAACACTACAGGATATCAGTGAAGCTGAGACTCTCTTCTCGGATCTAATGTTTTCGTGCATGCCGGTCTGAAAATGCTGACTGCATCATAACCCTGACTGCTGCCAACATTAAACTTGTAAAACAACAGAGAGCAACAATAAAACTGCTATTTGCATTTTATGGAACTGTGTAAAAGTGAGAAAATAGAGTATCCTAGGGCTGGGTTTTTAAATATTCCCAATGATCTCAATCTTTGTTCACAACACATTATGGCAACACTTTCAAAGCTTTTTTTTTTTTAACTATGGTATATTTCATATATATAATGGTTGAAATCTGTCAGTGCACATCTAACATTTTAATAATGTCTAAATGAACAGCATACTTTTGATGATTCTCATATTGTACTATTATAATAGTTTATTGTACTAGAGGCTAGGTGCACAAAATTCATGCAAGGGGCTCAGCCCTCGCGGCCCACGGCCCCACAGCCCCACTCGACTGGTTGTTCCAGAAGGTCATACCGGAAGGTCATTCCACCATCTGGTCTAATTAGCATATTAGCTTTTTATTATATAGGATTGTGATATATAGGAATATAAGATGCTTAAAAAACCTTAAACAGTTAACTAAGTAAGTGCTCTCAATTCAAAATTGCCCAAATCTTGAACTATGAGTAATGTTTTCCAGTACAAAGGTCTAGCTTTATTTATACTTATCATAAGTGCATACATAATACTATAATGAACAACTAAGCACCTGATTAGCTTCATTGCTTACATGCTTATTTTTAGAAACTTTATCAGCATCTCCAAAAATATATGAGGAACTTCTATTAATAGTTATACTAATATTAACTCCTGCTGTGGAATAAAGATGGGTACACATTCTTTACTACTCCTCCAATTGAGGGGAGTCTAATTCTCTTTCTCTTCAATCCAAGATCGTAACTTGTTTGACCAATAGAATGTGTTACATCCTGAGATTCTGAGGCTAGATTAACAAGAAGCTTTGCAACTTCCTCAAGCTTCTTGAAACTCTCTCTGGGAGCCCTGAGCTGCTGTGTAAGAAATCTGGCTACTCTGAGACTGCCACATTGGAGAGACCACTGGTACATGCTCCAGTTGATAGTCCCTGCTGATTCTAATCTTTTAGTTATTTCCCCCAATAACCTTCTTTGATGCTCAAGACAAGCCTACATACCAGCTTAATATCAACAAGTATCCTTAGTTGATATATGGAAGAGATGAATCACCCAGCTGAGTTATGTCCAAATTCCTGATCCCAAATTATGAAATTCTAGAGGCCCGGTGCACAAAATTCATGCGGGGGGGGGGGGAGGGCGGGGGAGGTTGTCCCTCAGCCCAGCCTGCACCCTCTCCAATCTGGGACACCTCAAGGGATGTCCGACTGCCTGTTTAGGGATCAAGCCTAAACGGGCAGTCGGACATCCCTCTCACAATCCAGGACTGCTGGTTCCCAACTGCTTGCCTGCCTGCCTGCCTGATTGCCCCTCACTGCTTCTGCCTGCCAGCCTGATCGATGCCTAACTGCTCCCCTGCCGGCCCAATTGCCCCTAACTGCCCTCCCCTGCCAGCCTGGTCACCCCTAACTGCCCCCCCTGAAGGCCTGGTCGCCCCCAACTGACCTCCCCTGCAGGCCTGGTTCCCACCAACTGGCCTCCCATGCAGGCCTGGTCCCCCCACAACTATCCTCCCCTGCAGGGCTGGTCCCCCCCCCAACTGTCCTCCCCTGCTTGCCTGATCCCCCACAACTGCCCTCCTCTACTGGCCATCTTCTGGTGGCCAGCTTGTGTCCACATGGGGGTGGCCATCTTTGACCACGTGGGGGTGGCCATCTTGTGTGTTGGAATGATGATCAATTTGCATATCACATCTTTATTAGATAGGAAAATAAAATGGCTATTGTATTAAATTGCTAAAGGTAAACTTTCTCTACTCATAACACTTCCTTCTGACACCAATTTATTCCCCCACACCAACCAATTCTGCAGCTTTTCAGACACCAATAGGGTGCCCTAAAATTCAATTTAATTCTGATACTAGCTATCTGGAACTAACATAAACCCACAGGTCAAGGGCACAAGGATGCCCCTACACACGCACACACTTTATATGTCAATCTCATGTCCTGATCTCTCATACTTTTGAATGACTGGCTATATATTGGGGTTCACGAAATTTCCTCCTCACGTTCAATAATTTGCTATAACAGCTCACAAAACTCAGGAAAACACTTTACTTATGTTTACCAGTTTATTATAAATGATATTATAAAAGATATAAATAAATACAAAGAGTGAAGTCTGGAAGGGTCCCGAGTGCAGGAGTTTCTGTACCCCTGGAGCTGTGGTGCACCACCCTCCCAGCATATGGATGCATTCACCAACTCAGAAGCATTCTTGAACCCCTCAGGAATGTTCATGAAGGTTTCATCGTAGGCATGATCCGTTACTAACTCAATCTCCAGCTCCTCTTCCCTCCTCAGAAATAACCAGCCTCTATCTAGGAGCTCCCTAAGAGTCACCTCATTAAAACAAAAGATGCTGCTATCACACAGGAAATTCCAGCAGATTTAGGAGCTCTGTGTTAAGACATTTCTATGACTCTCATTTTTCAGAAAATTAAAAGGGTTTATGAGGTCTGTGTCAGAAACTAGGGCAGAGAACACATGTATATTTTTTATTAAGGCACAGCTGCTAAGCTTTGCAGGTATTCTGTTAGCAACAGTAAATAACTGGGACACACACATCTTGTATCGTCAATGATTGTCTTGCAAAATAGATTGGATTTTATTGAAATTGGATTTTATGAAACTCTATTTTAATCATTTTGTGTTAAGAAATATAATAATAATTATTATTTATCAATTTATTTCATATACAGCCTCTCTTTCTATATAGGTAGCCCACTCTTTCTTTTGGAAATCCGCCACTGAGAGAAGTCTTGATTGAAAGGTAGTTGTCTCCAACTTTGAAGGGCTATGTCCTTTCTTTTCTTGCCCTAAGTGGCCAGGGGAGAGCACTTAAATTTTCAACTCCTGTGGGACTTTGAATTTTGAGCTAGTAATACAAGGATTCAAGACAGAATAAATTCCCTAAGACCTAAATATAATCATATCATTCCTCTCCTAAATATGATCCAATCCTTTAAAATTAGATCAAGTTTCAACTTGTAGCCTGGTAGAAAGTGCCTTTATTGTCTGTCCCTTATTTATCTCTCCAACCTCATCCCTCAGTGTTTCTCAGAATCCTAATGGATCAATCATTCCAGATTACTGTTATGGGTAAAATTGTGTCCCTGCAAAAAAGATATGGTTAAGTCCTAACCCCCAACATCCCAGAATGTGACCTTATTTAAAATTAGGGCCTTTATAAAGCTAATCAGTAAAATGAGATGATTAGGGTTGGCCCTAATCCAATACAATTCCTGTCTTCATAAAATGAGAAGTGTTGACCAGGAAGACATGCAGAGGGAAGATTATGTCAAGTGAGGGAGAATGCTATGTGAAGATGGAGTGTTGTGATCACTCTGCAAGTTGAGCAATGCCTGAGGCTATCAGAAGCTAGCAGAGAGGCATTAACCAGTTCTGTCCTTAGTGCCTTCAGAGAGAGCACCTCAATTTCAGACTTCTAGCCTCAATACCTGTGACACAATACATTTCTGTTGTCTTAATGCACCTAGTTTTTGGCCCTTTGTATGGCAACATAGAAAACCCATACAAGTACACACTGCTTACCAAGAGCGTTATACTTCTCCTCAAAAAAAAAAAAAAGAAAATAGGAGGAAGATTTATGCTAAACATTCCAATATTTGGAAGAAGGAGGTGGAAGCAATCAGGGACTTTTTTTCATGAAAGAGAAAGTATTTGAACTAGGCATTAAGGACATGAAGATTTCAGTAGGCAAAGACAGGAGGATGGCATTTCTAACTTAACGAATACTTGAAGCAAAGATGTAAAAGCAGAAACATGTAGATCCTTTCTAAAATAAAAACAGGTTGTGTCTTCACTTTATGTATCAGGTGTGTACAGTGAATTCTAAGAACATTATTATCAATGGCTCAGTTTAATTAGACTTCTGGAAGCAAGCACACTGGAAAATAGTTAGTTGCTTTAGCATCCCTTCCTCCAAGAACTCTCATAATTGCTTTAGGATTTTTTAGTTATTCTCTAAAATATGAGTGCTCAGGAGTTTACCAAACAGTGAAAATTTTTAAAGGATAAGGGGCATCATAAGGATATCAGTATCTTATTTTGGAACATAAGAACATTTTAATTAGTTATTTTTTTATCACCATACCTTCATTAGAGAAATAAGATTTCAAAAATGAAGAAGGAAACATTATAATCTCAGAGTAAATTATGATTCTATAAGTTGAAAATAGCTTTGAGAAAATTTTCCCACATTTTCATTCTTTCTTATTTCCCCCAAATCAAAGAAAACAATCTGCTGTTTAGGGGTAGAGACACATAGTAGAACTAAACATATGGACATTTTTAAGAGCAGGGAGGGGACAGAGCAAAACTTTTTGCAATGCTCTTTGATTCTCTTATAACCTATGTTCATGAACTGATTCTGCAAATGTAGCATTTACATAAATCATCTGATAATTAAAAGTCCAAAAAAATGAATGATAAAACCCAGTGGATGCTATGCTTTTTCCATAAGGCACAAGAGAAAGAAAATTATAAGGCATAAAAGAAGTTGGAGTTATAGATGTTTGGGGTTTTCCCAATCACTTTAAATTTTTGTAAAAACAAATCTTACTAATGGTTAGTTCCTGCCTCATGCTGACAGTTTACAAATAAGAATAGCAAGGTCCCATTTCAGGGCAGACAGTGTGGAGCCCTCCTCAAAAGCATTTTCAAATTAGAGTGACAGAGCTTCACAAGCATTCCTGGCAGTAAAGGATAAATATTAATGCTTCAAGCAAACCATAAACTAGATCTATAGTCTTTCACCCACCCCAGCCCACTGTAAGAGCAGAGATAGGCCTCCTGCAGCTGGACTTTGTGTCTCCTTGATTTTTTACACTCATATGTGGTAAAAGAACAATATGTAATTCTTGTTCACAAGAATTTATTCTATTGGTATACTGCTTCATCTGAGAAGATTATGCTCTAGGTTCCCCCAAATCCAGACATATAAAGATATATATTGACACGTGTTCAATAGAAACATCGATTTTTTTCTCTAAATGGTATATAATTGAGGAGGCCCAGAGGAAGTAGCATAGCATGGCTTGATGACAGAAAGATCCAAATAATAAATTTTGGCTCAATTTGTAGGACAATTGCTTTCAGTTCCTTAAAGAATTGGGTTGCAACTTGAAAGATATGACAGGGGCTAATGCACCCATTCAGCTACATTATCTTTAGTTTGCTTCCTTATATCAGGGAGAATATCTTCAATTAAGATAGAAATAAAATGGTTCCAGTGTTCTAAATTTACAGTAGAGCTGTTAATGTATAGAATACTTGTTCTTTACCTCTGGGTACATAGTTTCATTTTTTTTGATATATATATATATATATATATATATATATATATATATTTTATTGACTTCTGAGAGGAAGGCAGAGAGAGAGAGAGAGAGAGAGAGAGAGAGAGAGAGAGAGAGAGAGAGATGATGCGAATCATTGATTGGCTGCCTCTTGCATGCCCCCCACTGGGGATTGAGCCCACAACCCAGGCATGTGCCCTTGACTGGAATTGAACCCAGGACCCTTCAGTCCACAGGCCGACGCTCTATCCACCGAGCCAAACCAGCTGGGGCCATAGTTTCATTTTATTTTAGGGGAGGAAGCCTTTTAAAAAGTTCCTGTTGGCCCTAGCTGGTTTGGTTCAGTGGATAGAGCATCAGCCTGCGGACAGAAGGGTCCCAGGTTTGATTCCAGTCAAGGGCACATGACCGGGTTGCAGGCTTGGTCCCCAGTGTGGGGTGTGCAGGAGGCAGCCGATCAATGATTCTCTCTCATCATTGATGTTTCTATCTCTCTCTTCCTCTCTGAATTCAATAAAAATATTTTTTTAAAGAAGTTCCTATTGTTCTCTGAATATCAGCTTCCAATTTGGCCAACTTCATACCACAGAGCTACCAAAAATAAAAAATAAAAAAATCTTTCATCTATCTTGTCAAGTTTCAGCTGGGACTAACAATAAACATCCCTGACAGTATTGAATGACCCCATGAACAAAAGAGGTGTCTCCTCTTCCCCCCCTCACCCCCCTCCCACAAGGGTGCAGAAGATACTATCCTCCCAAGATTCAGAGTCGCTTCCAACGGCAGGCAAAAGAAAGACTGAATTCCCCTGAAAGCTGGCAACAGTCAGCAACACCTTAGCTGCACGTGGAGTACAACCCACATTTCTCTTTGGCCATATTTTTGAGCCCCCAACCTGTCAGTTGAGCTGCCTGCATACACAAGAATAAACAACCTGCATGCCCCAGGCAGGCAGAATACTCAACCAAGTTTTCAGGACACAAAACACCACAAATAAGAAGAAAATAGCTGTCTTGGGGGAGAAAGGATTGATAACAAATGGGTACCCCAAATTCCCAAGAATCTGGATCTGGAAAGGAAGGAACAACATGGAATTTTGCCTTCCTCTCTTGATTGGGGGACCACAGAGATCCCAGAGAGCTAACTCTGGCAAAAATTCTCACCCTAGGATCCCACCTGCAGGTCTTGAGGAGGTGGGATAGAAAGAATAGCCCTGATAGCTACCAGATTTGGCAAGGTTTTCCATTTGGGTTCTAAGAAGTTATTTCAATACCTGTTAAAAATAAACTGAGGCATACCGAAAATGTTGAGAATTCATTTGAGCACTTAGAGCCTCACCAAACCATAAGTACATAGTAGGAATGCTGGAGAACAGGAGCCCTGGACATACATAAAGTGCAGAAGCAATCAATCAATCAATCAATCAATCAATAGAATTATTTGATTGGCCAGAGAGTAAAGCCTAGTTGCCGTTTTGTGATTGGTTCCTCATTGAGTTTTGATTTTGTAACCTTGAGGCATTTCTGGGCTTAGATTTTGGCTTGATCACGTAGGGCACCTTGACCTAAGAACCACCTCCATGTTTGGTGCCAGGTGGGTCCTGGAAATATCGAGGGGAACACTTTGCAAAGTATATGATTGTCTAACCACTATGCTACACACCTGGAACTAATACAACATAATATCGAATGTAACCTGTAATTGAAAAAATAAAATGAAGCACCCCAGTCTAACAGCCTCCTTGCTTAATGTAACAGGCCTACATGAGAACAAGTGCCTAACAATAGGAGGCTGCCAGGAAAGAGCAGCTCTTTTTATTGTTGCTTTGTTGATATTATTGTCATCATCAACAGCATGCTAATCAAAAGTAAGCCGAGTTTTCGATCTGCCTGTGCCTTCAACAGAGTGAAACGGGGGAGGTGGTGATAAAAAGCTTCAGATAAAATCCAGCTTCTAGCCCAGCTCTGCCCCTGCTTGTACGACCTTGGGAAAGTGGCTTAATCTCTCGTCTCTTATTTAATGTGAGGATAATAGCTGTACTTACTCTAGAAGATGTTTGTGAGGATTAAAGAAGATTTTTGATGAAGTTCTGAGTATCGTTTCTGGCTCATAATTAAGTGTTCAGTGTTAGCAATTATTAACATTATGACATATCTTATTATTCAGTCTCAATGTAAAACAGTCCCTGCAAGAGAGTCCTAAATGTCTGATCCAAGATAACAGGAAAAAATTAGAGATTTTAAAAGGTCATCCGAAAGCTATCACAAAGAAACAAAAGCAATAAAATCTGAATGGGTGGGCAGAAAAGACACAAACACACTCTGAAAACATGAAGAAGTGAAACAACAGGCTTAAGAAGAGATTTCCTTATTTCATTTACTCGACAAACACTTTATAATGCTCACTAAGGCCCGGGCACTGTTGTAGGCCCTTCACAAATATTAATTTATATAACCCTAGTAATCCTACAAGGCAGATACTATTTTTTATCCCGATTTTACAGATAAGGAAAGAGAGGCTAGAGAAGTCAAGTAATGTACCCAAAGTCTCACAACTAGCCAGTAGCAGAGCCAAGATCTGAAGCCAGAAATATGCCCCAGAATTTGGGCATTTATCCTAGAAATGGAGACAAGAGCAAAAGCATTGCTACATTTTATTAAGATATAGCTAAGATTTTAAAATATATTCCACTGAAATGAGCTTTTATCTCCTCCTCCAGGTTGAATTCCAAGAGTAACAGTCAAGGACCTTTACCTGGTTCTATGAGAAGAGCGTTCTTCTAGTGAAAATACAGTGGCAGACTCAAGTGTAAATGCAAATATAGAGGGCCAATTTGGCAATGTGTGCCAAAAAGACTTAAAATTGTGTGTATAATTTGATCCAGAATGTCTAGCTTTTGTAATAATTTTAAGGAAGTATATAAGCATTTTCAGTGAGGATGTTTATTAAATGTGTGTTCATAAAAAAAATAATCATGACAGCAAAAGTGAATTCAATGTCCATTGACTAGAGGCAGTTAAGTAATGTATAATCAATCCACCAAATGTGATAAAATGCCCTCATTAATAAGATGTTGCAGCAGAATGTTTAAAAACAATGACATAGACCAGCCGTGGGCAAACTACGGCCCGCGGGCCGGATCCGGCCCATTTGAAATGAATAAAACTAAAAAAAAAAAAAGACCGTACCCTTTTATGTAATGATGTTTACTTTGAATTTATATTAGTTCACACAAACACTCCATCCATGCTTTTGTTCCGCCCCTCCGGTCCAGTTTAAGAACCCATTGTGGCCCTCGAGTCAAAAAGTTTGCCCACCCCTGACATAGACAATGGTTCATGATGCATGACATCAAGGAAAAAAAGGCACAGAAAAAAGTCAAAGAATATTTTCTAAAATGTGTTCTTTTAGGAAGAAAATAAAACTAGGAGAATTTTAATGTTACATGCTTATTTATTTTTGTATTATAAATTGTTCCAATAAACTTTTGTAATCAAAGAAAGAAAATTTAATGTAAAAATTTGATTTGTTCCCAGTCCTAGGAGTCCCAAAAGGACAACTTGGAATCCCAGAACCTAATGCAAATAACCAGGGACTGAGCTGAACAGGGGATTTGTTGAGGATCCTTTCCTACCCTACAGCTTTTCATTCCAGTTTTTTTTTTTTTTTTGGTTTTGCTGTTGTGGAATACAACCCACAATGCTCCCCAGCAGATGCACATCATTTATTCCAGAACTCTCTTAGAGCCCTGAGGCTCTGAATATTTTCTATTTATGAGCTGGGATAGACACGAAACATTTAAAAAACATTAAAGGCATCCTTTTCTTTCTTAAACCCTGTAACCTAAAGGAACACTGTCCAATAGAACTTTCAATATCGATGGGCATGTTCTATAGTTGCACCGCACCTTATGGTAGTCACTAGATGCATGTGCTATTGCATATTTGCCATGTGGCTAGTAAGACCGAAAAACCGAATTTCTAATTTTATTTCAATTTAATTAATTAAATTTAAATAGCCATGTGCAGTTGGTGGCTACTGTATTAAACAGCGCATGACTAACATGTTCAGAAACAGTTAGCTCGGTATTTCCTGTTCTGGACTTCATTTTCCAAATTAAAATCCCTACTCAACATTTATCACTTTTATTCATTCACTTATTTACTACTATAAACATATTAGTAAGCATTGCAAGCCAGTCTTGGTACTAAAATCTACAGACTCAGTTGCTTACGAGAGAGCCCTCATTGCACATGTTCTTTAGCAGAAATAAGGATTTAAAATATTTATTTATTGACTTCAGAGAAGAAGGAGAGAGAGGGATAGAAACAGCAATGATTAGAGAGAATCATTGATTGGCTGCCTCCCGCATACCCTACACTGGGGGGTCAAGCCAGCAACCTGGGCATGTGCCCTGACTGGGAATCAAACCCTGACCTCCTGGTTCATAGGTCAACACTCAACCACTGAGCCACACCTGCCAGGCAACATTTCCTTATCTCAAATTGCATCTCTTGTATTTTGCCTCCCAAAGGATCACAAGGAAAGAAAAAGATGGATTCTAGTTCATTCATTCAGTTTGTGCTATACTGGAACTGTGTGTTCATGAGCTTACTTATTAATTCTGTATCAGATTCTATCGAAGGACCCTCTTCCTCCCCCTGGGTACTTTGAATTCTTCCAAAATCCATCCTTTAGACTGAAAAGGAGATTTCTCCTGTTTGATCTTTTCTTCATGAACAGACAGGGATTGGTTGATTCTTCTGAGCAAAAGGCCTTATTCATCTGAGAAATGGGAATTGGTATCTCTATATTCTCTCTGCCTCTGGGAAATAAAACTACTTTCCTACTAACTAAAGTATTCAGAAGAAAACCCAATATGTCTTTAGATTTAAATTATATTGGGCATTTTCTATGTCTAAATCATTGTACTGTGTATTGCAGATTATCAAAAATCTAAAAGACATGGCCCCTGCCTTCCACAGAACCCAAAAGTGTATAGAATCCAAATAGAAGATACCAGGTGACTTTGCTTTCTTAGAAAACATGATTCCACCACTCTTCTTTTTTTGTTTGAAGTGGACAGGTTTTATCCTATTCATTTATTCCCATTCCACCACACCTACCCCTTTGGCAACCATCAACTTGTTCTCTGAATCTATGGGTCTGTTTCTGTTTCATTTATTTTGTGTTTTTAGATTGCACATATAAGTGAGATCGCATGGTATTTGTTTTACTCTCTCTGACTTGTTTTAATTAGCACAATACCCTCTAGGTCCATCCATGCAAGTGGCAAGATTTCATTATTTTTTTGTGACTGAATAATATTCCTTTGTATATATGTTACACATCTTCTTTACCCAATAATCTATTGATGGACACCTAGGTTGCTTCCATATCTTGGCTATTACTGGTAATACTTCAGTGCACATAGAAATGCATATGCCTTTTCAAATTAGTGTTTTTGTTTTCTTCGGATAAACACCCTGGATTGCATGGCAGCTCTATTTTTAATATTTTTAGTCTCCATGCCATTTTCCATAGTGGCTGCATAAATTTTACAATCCCACCAACATAAGGGTTCCCTTCTTTCTATAGCCACTCAACACTTGTTTGTTGATTTATTGCTAAGACTCATTCTGACAGGTATGAGGTGATATCTCATTGAGGTTTTCAATTTGCATTTACCCGATAATTAGTGATGTTGAGCATCTTTTCATGTCTCTTGGCCTTGGGTAGGTTTTCTTGGGAGAAACATCTATTCAGGTCCTTGACCATTTTTAAATTGGATTTTTTTGTGTGCTAAATTGTATGGGATTCTTATCTATTTTTGGATATGAATCCCTTATCAGATGTATCATTTGCAAATATCTCCCCCCATTACTAGGTTGTATTTTCATTTTGTTGATGGTTTCCTTCTTGTGCAAAAAAACCTTTTTATTTTTATGTAGTCTCATTCGTTTATTTTTTTTCTTTTGTTTTCCATACTCAAGGAGATATATCCAGAAAGATATTACTAAGAGCAATGTCAAAGTGTTTACTGCCTATGTTTTCTTCTAGAATTTTTATAGTTTCAGGCCTAACATTTAAGTCTTTATTCCATTTTGAGTTTATTTTTTATATGGTATAAGATAGTGGTCCAGTTTCATTGTGGGGTTATTTTTTTGCATGTGTCTGTCCAGTTTTGCTAACGCCACTCATTGAAAAGACTGTCTTTACACCCTCCCCACCCCCTGCTTTTTGAAAGCATTTGAAAGGGAATGAGAGGAATCAAAATTTGAGGGTAAGGCCATTTTTGGTTCATCTTTCCATTGTAAACAAATATAAAAGGAGGAACTGACATGTATCTAAAACTGTGCTAAAGTCTATGGCAAAGAAAAAAATAAAACTAGCATCACTGCTGTAAAGGAGATTAAAATTTAGTTGGGTTTACATGTAGTTCATGTGTCACACACGTGTAAAAGTATTAAATATAAAAGCCATAACTAGAACTAAGGCTCTGTAGTAATCAGTGTTTGCCAGACAAACAGGATCGATAGAACAGAGTGAGAAATAGATAGATTTATTATAAGGAATTGACTCACATGATTATGGAGGCTGAGAAGTCCCATGGCCTCCTATCTACCTGCAAGCTGGAGTCCCAGGAGAGTCAGTGATGTATTTCCAGTCCAAGTCCAAAGGTATGAGAACCAGGAGCACTGAGGGCAGGAGATGATTGATGCCCCAAGCCCAGAAGTTAGGGAGAGATGAATTCAACCTTCCTCTGCTTTTTTGTTTTCTTCAGGCTCTCAACTGATTGGATGATGCCCACTACATTAGGGAGGGCAATCTGCTTTATGCAGTCTACTAATTCAAATGCTAATCTTCTTTGGGAACACCCTCACAGACCCATCCAGAAACAGTGTTTAACCAGCACTCAGGAGACCTCATGGCCCAGGGAAGTTGACATAAAATTAACTATCACAGGCTCTTCCTCAAAGAGAGGTCCAGGTACATGGCCTTTATGGGTCCTTGAAATGCTACCCATGTGACTCAGGACTCTGTACTCTATTTTCAGAAAAGGCACAGCGGTGCCAGAAAGTCTGGGTTCAAATCCTGCAATCTCCACTTACCAGTTTTAAGAACTTGGGAAAATTACTGAGCCCCTGAAACTTCATTTTCTTCATCTATAAAGTGTAGGCAAAACCCACTTTATGTGGATAATGTAAACATTAAATATAATGTATGAGGAGGGCCTACCACTGTGCCTACTTATAATAGGTATTCAATATATTCTATATTGATTAGGAATAGGGAATATTTATTGTAAACATCAAATAAATTGACAAGGCTTTGTATTGTAGCATCAGAAAATAACTCTTCTTCAAACAGGCAGCAATATAGCAATCACCCATACAGTGTGAAGAAATACACAGACTGGCATATGGCTTTCTCAGTGCTTGTTGATAATGATAGAAAGAGCACCGAGAAATGAATGTTTCCCTGGAGAGAAGACCACAATAAAATCTGCAATAACCCCAATAAAATTACAAGCTGGTTGGTCATTTCTATATCTTTAGTGATGTCTCTAAGGATTCATCTTACACCTGGAGAAAGGCTAACTCCAGACCAATTAATGCTGAACCTGACGCATTGATAGTCAAACAGTGGAATGGTGTCTCCATCTCCATTTTACAGATAAACTTAGTGAGTACTGAGAGATACACTTACAGAGTAACCAGAGTTCAAGGGCCCCGCAACTATCTCAGAGACAAAAGTGAAGAGAGGGTACCCAGAGATAAACTGAGAGGGTGCTGAGGGCCCCAGGGCACTGCCTGATTTCTCAGAAGTGAGGCTGGAAATGAAACATAAGCCTGCAACACTGCTTTCTGCTAGAATGTGCCCTGTGAATGTTCTCTCTAACCTTGAACATCATTTGCCCCTGTTGTTAGCAGCTCTTAGTGAGAACACTCATCTTAACCACATTTCC